AGTAACACAGTAATATCTATTGCTATAATATTTTACTAACTGGACCCTTCCACTTAGATTCTTTGAGATACCTTCATGGTTCTACAGAAAATTTTTAGATAATTTTRCTTCAGTGAGYTTATGTTTCTCATAAAACAATTTTATATCAGGTATTGTGCCAGATATTCTTGCCTTCAAAGAACTTATTTTTGATGTCATTGATTAACACAGAAAAAATAAATAAAAAATGTCCCTTACTAAGAAAACTTAAACCACCAATATGAAACCCTGAAATATCAGAAACCCCACCTTTACTTCTTGGCAGTTGTCATTTTTCCATGTTGCCTTCCTTAAAGAAGACATTCAGGGTACAAKTCTAAGAATAACCATGCACCAAGCCTCCTACTCTGTGTTTTAACTTATTCCAAATGTAATATAGTCAATCATATTCACTCATCAGTTTTCCAATTATGTTTCTACTATTTGATTAATTTCCTCATTAGTGTAATAATTGATCATAAAAATCATTTTCTTACTTCATTACCATAACATACAACTCCTGCTACTTCCTTATCATTGTCTTTCTGTTCAGCCTCTAATCAATTTACCCTGAAAAATAGTGTCCTAGATGTCATATATTWAAAAAAATGATTTGTCATTTTTTCCATTTTCTATGATTATTTTATGGTCAATATGACTCTTTCCTTAATTTCTCCTTCTCCAGCTTTATATTTTCAATGTGCCCTCCCTTCCTAGACAAAGGGTGAGGTTTTGAGACTAAATTCCAGATTTAGGCTTAAAAGTCTTTTTTTTTCCAATATTTATTTTTTAGTTGTAGTTGGACACAATTAATTTATTTTTATGTGGTGCTGAGGATTGAACCCAGGGCCCCACATGTGCTAGGTGAGCGCTTTACCTCTGAACCACAATCCCAGCCTCTTAAAAGTGTTTTAAAATTTCATAACTTGTTCCTTATCCTAAACATGCAATTTCTTCTCCTGTGGACTGATGAAAAGAAATCCTCTTTCTTTATGTTTGCAGTTTCAGCTGTCCTTGACATGGGTCCCATCAGCATGTTAAATATTTTTCCACAAAGTGGCTATAAACATATTTCCAAGCTGATGGTTGTGATGCTCCTATTTCTGGGCTTTGACTAATTTGACTTCAAATTCCACTGCATCCCTCATTTAGATCACACATCCTGTGTTGGTTTGCATCCAATTCACCTGTTCCAGTGTTTTCTCCACAACTGATTTGACTGCATTATGAGCAGATACTACCTTTATTTATTAATAAAAATCTACCAATGTACAAGACAGAATACAGTACATAAGCAATAATTATTCTAACAGCACACTGTTTTTCTAAAATTTTGGTAGCTTTCCAGCTTATTTTGTCCTCCCTTTTCTGTTTTATCTTTCCGTAACCTTTCCTTGCCTCTCACCTATTCTTACACACCACCTTACAATGTATCCACATAAAGCAACACTTGAAATAGAGGTTAATATAAACATTTATTTCTCTTTTTGTAAATAAGACCAAGTCAAATCTTTTCCATGATTCCATTATAGAAAACGAATCTTTATGGTCTGTGTATAAATGAAATATCTTTTTTTTTTAAGAAGATGCTTCATTATACTATACAGGAAAGTAATATGGTGCTTAATTTTCTTGGTTTATGTTCAAGTATATTTTTTAATCTTACTTTGGCTTCTCTGCACAATTTATTTCCCAACACATATTGGAATGTACTTCAGCATCTGGAATCACATTTATTATATCTGCATKAACAGTATAGTTTTGGGTGTAGTGGCGACTGGATGGGGAGAGACTGGTCTTGCAATATTTGGAGCTCATCTCATGTTCTTAACTATGTTTGTGTAATGGACCAGCCAAAAGATGAATTTTGTATTCACTGGGTGATCCTAAGAAGATAACTTATGTAGTGAAGTAGTTACCTTGTTGGGCAAGAAAATTAGAGGTGGGAAGCAAACTATTGATTAGCATTAATCTTCTGGCCAATTTCTTTTCTTTTGGGGGGAAGGGTGRGTACTGGGGATTAAACTCAGGGGTACTCGACCACTGAGCCACATCCCCAACCCTATTTTGTTTTATTTAGAGACAGAGTCTCACTGAGTTGCTTAGCACCTTGCTTTTTCTGAGGCTGGCTTTTGTAACTTTCCATCCTCCTGCCTTAACCTCTGGAGTCGCTGGGATTAAAGGTGAGTTCCACTGTGCCTGGTCTTCTAGCCAGTTTCTATTTAAATTCACACTACTTTTACTTCACAAAGTAATCTTCAACTTTAAGCAAAAGATGATGTTAATGTGAACATTCATATGCCTATGAAATTGCAACTTTGCTCCTAAGTATATTTCCAATGGTAGCACGTTCATATTCAAAAAAACGAATTCTAAGCATGCACTATTTAGAAGGGCCCCAAACTTAAACTACCTAAATTCTCATTGAGAATAGGAATGTTGATTTATAGAATGAAATACTATACAGTAATAAGAATAGCAATGAACAATCGACTACTACACTCAATAATATGGAAAAAAACAGATATCTAATATTGAATGAAAAATGTCACACAAATGAATACATATATCTTGTATGAATTCTWTCATATTGAGTTTAAAAGAAAGTGAACACACTTTATATCTGAAACCTA